ACACTCACTGGATTCCTTTGCTGACACTTCTTCCCTTCGAAAGGCTCAATGCGTTCGAGTGACTCCGCCCAAAGGCTCGCATCAGAGTTATCGCTACCTTTGCTAAGAAGTGTCTGTTCAGAATGCGTTCTACTTTATTTACTTGATCAACAGTTTTACTCGACTAACGGATTTAGCTATGAACATTGGAGAGATGGCAGGTTATTCTCAAAGGTAATTCTTTGGCTGTTTTTTTTTTGTCTCGCAGTAAAAAATATAATTAAAAAAAGAGACAAATCGGCACATACAGTCAAGATAGTCATTCAACCACGCATGCAATTCATTATCTGATTTTAAGACAAAAGGACAATTTCAGGATAGCAGAACTAGTTCGCCAAATGAAAAGTTATCACGACGATGGGAAAAGCTTCTGGGGTTATGGCGAAGGCGTGGATTCATCGGATCTTTTGGTGGCTCAGAACCTATCATTCTCTTTACCTTCTGATCCTAATAGCGTAGTTGCTGCAGGTTTGTTCACTTGCTTTAATCAACAGTTGATCGTTGTAGCATACAGTTCCGATTTTCGACGATGACATTTTGTTTTGATGATTGGTTCCAGCCTCTCACTCAGTCTGACTCTCGCCCCATCATAATACCTAAGAAATCAGACGAGCATTTTCTTCGGATAGAACTGTTCCCCTTGACATACCCGTCTTTTCTCAAAACTTTTCTTCCAAAAATGTCTTTTCCTCTCTCATGCTTTGTGTTGTCGTTTTTGTCTTTTACTAGTTACTACTATACTAACAATCTAGAACTGCTTATTGTTCAACTGCCTTCCATTTTCTTTAATGTCAGCGATATTTTCAGATCTGAATCTTCGACTTCCCCAAGAGAAGACTCTTCTGATTACTGGAAATAGTGGTGTTGGAAAGTCGTCACTGTTAAGAGTCGTGAAGAACTTATGGGAGCCATGCTCTGGTAACAATTCAGAAGCAATGCTCAACTGGAAGCCGGTCGATTGATATGTTTTGTTCAGGAACGATAATCAGAAATTTCACTCAAACAAATGCAATGTTCCTACCACAACGACCATATTTCCCACCTGGATCATTGTCTATACGGCAACAGATTGTATTTCCAAGAAATGAAAGTGACATGCCATGCCTCGATCAGGGTAGGATTTATAAACAAGTTTTTACTGTCCATTTGAAGAAATAACTTCTTTTTTTCAAATGATAAATTCTAATTGGCTAGAACTTATTTGAGGAAACAACGAATTTCCCACAAGTGAACTTTGATGTTCTACATTTTCTTTGTTATCTCTGAAAGTGCAAATCGCATTGCTTGAATGCTGTAGGTACGGGCTGTCAAATAAGCAACGGCATCCTTGAAAGTAATTCATGATCTGTCAAAATGATGATAACACGGTTGAACATAATCCGTTTAGTGTGGGCAAATAAGGCGCTGTGGGATGTTCTCGGTACTCCCTCAATGGCACAGTTCACGATAATTTTAGGGTGTCCAGTCCAAAAAGAATAATGGAAATGATAGTCTTAATAGTGTAATAAGCTGCCTTCGTGCAAAACGTGCGTCCCGGTGCGAATGTTACAACTGCAGGCTCCACAATGCCTTGAAAACTCGTCCGCCTCTGGGTTGTACATCAACCAAGCCAATTTTGGGGCCTTCATTATGCCTCTCTAGATGGTTTCTCATTCCTAGTATCCTTGATGTTCTGCTAGAGGATCACAGGTTCATCTTCACGGAAGTCTCAAAAACCATTCTTATCGTGATCCGTGCCTTTGAAAAGTGTGAGGAGTTTGTCAAAAAACCCGAGAAAATAGGTAGCATTCCGACTATAACACAGTTAGGTTTTACGAGAGAGTTTGCACGAGTTCATCATCCTCCCTTAATTAAACTTTTTCGGTACCATTTTTTTTGAGCATGTTGTGCATGTGATCCCTTGGTAGTTAGTATTTCAAGAAATGAGAAGATCACCAAGTCAGTGTTTTGGGTAGTGAACAATACAAGGGCAAAAATTATGTTCGAGTTCGAATCCAGGATGGACACTTGCCCAGGCTGACCAAGCAAGCTCAAATTTCGAACATATCAGTACATTATTCAATGAAAAATCAACCTTTATATCTTTAGGACTTTTCAAAGAACCTACGTGACAACGTTCAACCCGTAATCGATAATCCCCAGATCATTCTTCCCAGAATGAGAGTACCCAATAAATAATAAGGTAGATAACTTGTATGTGACTTATCCATATTCATTTTACAGAAAACGATAGGATTATGAAAATTCTACAGTCGCTCGACCTAATAAAGCTGGTTTCGATGAGCGGTGGTTTGACCGATTCTGCCGATTTCGAATGGTAGGTACTACAATGCTGATATTTTGTAGAAGCATAGCCCGTTTGGAATACGAAACTGATGTCTTTCGAAGTTATAAAGCTGAAAAAAGTGCATGTTCAGGCAAGACACGCTTTCCCCAGGAGAGCAGCAAAGACTTTCCATTGCGAGAGTTCTATTCCATCGGCCGGCTTTCGTGTTTCTGGACGAAGCAACGAGTAGTCTCTCTCTCGATGCCGAAGCGAAGATATATACACTTTTACGAGATGTAAATTACTTGCATACAACTTTTTATATCAGGTCGCTGACAGTTAAAGGCACCGTTCACGATAATTTTGGGTAATTATGAAAAATGGAAGACAAGATTGAAACTAATGCGACTGAGGTTAATAAACTGCGTGCATCGGTGTTTCCAAAGTGAAAAAAGGCTTCGAAAAAACGTTAAAAAGGGGGCTGGACGAGAATGAAAGCAGAAAAATGAAGAAGAGTGGGGCATCCGCACGAGCTATACAGTGTGTTCCACTGCGCGCGTGTGGGTCCTGGTGCGAACAACAGACGATGGTAAGCAAAAATTCATTCACTTATAAGCATGAATAAACAAAAAACCCTAGTAGCAGCAAAAGTAACTCACCTTTTTCAACTTCTAGGAGTAGGAAATTAAATAAGGGATCGCGGCAACAAAATGAAAAACAGAAGAAAAAAGAATGGGAGAAAAACATTGCCTCATCACTCGGCGATTAGCTGATTGTGCGTGGGTCCTAGAACGAATAGTAGCAATCTGTATTGTCTCGACACTCGTCTAACGTGACACCGATCAAGGGGCGGGAACGCGAGCTACGGCAACAACGGGGCTGCCACTATGCCTTGGACGTCGAGATTGGGGGAGTGAGAGGGTCCCTTCTACAACCCATGGGGGCCGCTGAGTATTAATAAGGTAAGAACTCAATAACTTTTTTATCGTGAACGGTGCCTTCAAGTAGGGAGGCGATGGTCAGCGGCGGTCCGCAGTGGACCTACCCATCATATTAGCCTTGTCAAATAGTTGTCTCTTCTAATACTGGTTCGGGATAGCATTCGGTATCGTTAGCAACACAAACTTGATTAGCAGCCAAGTCTCTTAGTTGCTGTAAAAATTCCATGCGCCAATACATCGTTTATACTTAGTGAAGGACATGTACGTAGGTGTGATAGCAGCTATGCAGTGCCGAACACAGTACTTTAAAAAATTTTTGAAGCGACAGAATCTTGGAAGTTGTTTGCTTATCATTCATTACCAGCAGTTTTTTTTAGGAAGGAATCACCTACATTTCCACGGGACACCGAAAATCACTGAAATATTTCCACGACTGGGAGCTTCGCCTAAACGGGAATAGCGGTTGGGAACTGATCACTGACGAAAAAGAAAAGTTTTGAAGTGCTTTTCGAATATAATGCGAATCACTTGTTTTGTATGGCATTACCATTAATTCCGAATTAGCAACTTCACTTACAGCTTGGGTATTTTTTGATGTTGATATTTTCTTGAGTAAATGTTATTAATCATCTTGGTGAGTGTAAAAAGTCTGATATATGACAGAATACGTTATATACAGATACGTAGACCTAAAGCTAGCCGTGGATTGAGATTTGACTCTGCCACACAGCTGATGCATGTAAATCAAGAGCAATTTCGTGGCGCATCGGGAGATGTTTTGGATTTTGCGATATTGACAATCTTGTTTACTCATTGAGCAATTTAAAAGTCACCTGAAACTCTACAAGCTCAGCAAACTTCATATATTCGACGTTCAAAATCCCGCCTTTGCCTCTTACAGTAGTTCCCATCCAACGATCCCATTGGTCGACTACCCTCGAGCAAATGCTTCTGTATCCAATTTTGTTAGTGTTGCGAGAGCAATACTGAGAAACTTTCGTAAATCTTTCAGTACACCAGGAAAGGTACTGTTTCACAAAAAAACTTGTACAGTCAGAAGTGAAGGGTGAACCTTAAAACAAATATTTCTCTTTAGCTCCTGCAACCAAAGATGCCACGCAAAACTGACTATTGATTGATCCGGATTGGCGCAGACATGCTTCAGGATGGTTTCCCAAGCACTGTAACGAACAAATGGTCAGACTACCCTTTGTGGTAGAGGAACCTCAAAGTGGATGTTCGTTCCCACTACCATGATCCAAGCAGAAGTGCCCCACACTGAGAAAAATGGGCTAAGTTGGGAATAGGTCGAAAAATCGGACGAAGGACGAAGGGGGGGAGGGGAAGGGTAGCCCAGACCAAAAGATTATCACTGTTCAACATATCCTTTGTTGTGACGCAGACGTTAGTGTGCGGAGCCCAATTGATAAATGAAAAACAACAGGGTCTTTTTACGATAGTCCTCGAAATAATATTACATATTTGCACAAGTTAAGGGTAACTATTGCGACACCAAAGTTATTTTCAGTGATAAAAGGAGACCTGAAATCGTTGTGGCGCATCACTTAATCGAACAAACTCTCATTCTCATTCGCATGGTTTCAACCCTCATTGCCAACGCTTACTACAAGAAGAGGAACACAAGGGAAATAGAATTCGAACACCCATACAACAGAAATTAGGAAAACATCAAGACTGAGTGGAAATTCCTTAAAAAAAAAGGAATGGGAATTATTTTTGCATTCGTTTTGATTGACACCTATAAGAACAACATCTGCCGATGATTCACTGACGACTGCATGGAAATCCACTGTTTTGAAAAGTCACCTAAGCTTTGTCTGTTCCCATAAAAATAGTTGTGAGTCAGTGTAAATATGTGAAAAAAGTATCGTATAAAGGTGCATGAGCAGTTCATTGGCAGAGCTCTTGCTCTGAAAGCTGTTCTTAGCCTTCTTTGCAATTCAACTTACTGAACTGTTGGGCTGTTAAAAAATGCTGAGGTTAATTTGATAAGCCAAACTCACCCGGGAAAGCAAATTCCGAAACATACTCACTTCACAGTTGGTTGAATCCAGAATATATAAGATACTTCAATTTATTGTTACTTACTTCATCAGATGTTCGGCATTATCTTCCTTGTAATTCTTATCGGCGGTGTCAGTGCGAGAAAGACTCAGTTAGAAGTAGAAGGACGTTTCCTCTGCGATGATGATAGAATCAATTGGGCTGTCTACGCGGAACTAAGAGAGCGAAACGGTATATTTCTGTTAATACATTCCTTCCTTATTGGATCTCGTACAGCTTCTGTTATAGTAATCCTGGATGAAAGTCTCGACTGGGTCAATGTGAAGGCCAACAACCGCTTTCGACTGAGAGGATTTGTGGATGATAGCACCAACGAGCCTTACCTTGTAATCAGGCATACCTGTCGCGGTGTGAGTTGACCGATTTTTTCGTTCCTATTTCTTCAGCACAGGTTCAAGTCTACTGCTACCTTGCGCATTTGAACACGGTAGAGTTGTTTTCTCGCAAGTCAGGGCAGTTCATTAATCATGAACGGTTGAATATTTTGTTTTTGTAAGGGTCCATAGGGCTTCATCAAAGTGGAATTAAAATTGCAGTAGCTATTATGAGTGGGAGGATGAAGGAGAAGGGGAATTTGGGTAGGGAAGTTATGGTCGGTAAACAGTAGATTAAACGACTAGACTAGGCGAGGCTAAGCGCCTTTGGTTGTAGGCATAGAAGCCTCACTTTGATGCTGATACAAAAGCATTTCTGCTCGATAACATAAAGTTCTGAGGGGTGTGGTGCAGTAGGAACGAAATTGTCGTGTAGCGGCGAGAGGGACGACGCGCGCGAAGGAATGTAGCGGAATGCAGCAGCAAGTAAGAAATACGGGAACAAGAGAAGTAGTAGTAGCATCATGCCAAAAGAAATAATCGCACATTACACTAACGGTTCCTACTGCCCCTCTCCCAGTCTTTATAATTGTCATACGAAAAACGCGCTCCTAGTTTACATGGAAAATCTACGCGAAAAAAATCGAGAGACTTCTGAAAACCAAGCCGTTCTCATAGAGGCTAAAGTCTCCAGGCGTTAATCATCCTTTATGAGGAATGCGCCCCACTTCCGTCTTCCATTCAGAATCGTAGTGGCGCAGTGAATGCGTATGTGGCCGATGCAGTGACTTGCAGTGGACAGCCGATGTACAAGCCAGTGCTTTTATCCTCCCAAGCGTTTCTGATGCCAATTGGCCGTCGCCAGAGGGATGAAAAGCCTCGTTAGGCTAGACAGATATCGATCCGGGATCTGAACCTGTGACCATGTCTAAGTGATAGGGCACCACTTTCCACTACACCACCTCCGCCCTATTACTCTTCTTTGCAGTTCTCATTAAAGGCTTTCTCAGGGTACTATGTACATTTTCAAATTTGGCGAATCCTTTAGTTTTGATGATTGGTTGATTGATTGGCTCGAGACTGAAGTCATATGTTCCAGGAGAAAGACGAAATTATCGTCAATTTCGGGAAGAAATATGATGATATATGGATCGAAATGGGAGATGTGGATCTCAATGATCCATTACTGCAAAAATCGTTGAGGACCAAATACGAGACGGACTAATATAAAAAGCGATACTGAACCACTACTCGCTATTCTGAATTTATGTTCAAAGAAATAAAAGTGTAGCATTTTCTGAATCGGTTACAGTTTCACTTTCAGTCTTACACTTTAAAACGTCATTCCGAGAGGTTCTAGTTGATCTTTTGATACTGAGAAACAATGATACTGGAAGAATATCAGATCTCTGTATAATTAATGTTATTTCTATGTATGTGAAGTGACATGGAGGCAGTATCTTAAGCAGACAAAAGCAAAAGTAAGGATGCGAAGCTCAGGTTCACATCAGATCACGGCTGAGAAGAACGAGAATTTNAACTCATGGCCATGCCTACTGTACTACTTGAAATCAGCGAAATGCTTCACAAAGAAAAAAATCCATTTTTTGACTCATAAATTTTTCTACAGTGGGGTCTGAGAAGCTTGCTAACAAGAAATGTTGCAGAACATATCCTTAACGGACCTTCCTCAGGAAGTGTGGCCCATCAGTAGCACTTGGCAGCATTCAGTGAGCTTTTGAAAGTTGAAGTTTCTAATAAAACGATTGGCAGCTGCGAAGGAGTATTATTCTGTGTTAGGATTCATGATCGAACGAAAGGATCCGAGACACCACCACCACCCCGGATAAATAAATATCCCCTGAGAATATGCTCGAAGCCTTACGGAACACAGATTTCCATTGCACCCCAACGTTCCAAAAATACTGAACCGTTCTCCAATTTCTATACAAGATGCAACTGCAAGCAGCTCGCAAAATGAATACAGTATTCTAAGAGTAGTATCAATGGTCGCACTGGAGCCTCTATCAGAAGTTGGGAAGGGGGTAGTAGAAGACAGAGGGAGAAAAGACCTTTTCTAAAACACCCTAAGCGTTGAGCATTCACAACGATTTCGGAACAGTACAGTGATTGGCTCTTATGGGTGGCGATGTTATTCCTACACTTCTTGTCGTGCCGTGAGATAACTAGGTGAGACAAGCATCTAACAATAAGACATGGATTGCGACTTAACTTACTAAGAGCTGCCGCGGTGATCATGACGCCACACAGACGCCTTCTATATAATCGAAGGTTGTAACGTTGTGAAAGACTTGGAGTAGGAATGGTTTTGTGTAATCGATCCGCCGCACGCGGCTGTCGCGGACCATTTGCCTCATTATAACAGTTCTAGCGTTCTTAATACAGCTCAATCGGTAAGCGACTATTACTTTTGGCATGATTCCAATGTTCGCTCTAAAGTTCCTATATTTTTTCCTTGCTGCTGCACTACTACATTCCTTCACGCGCGGCAACTCCTCGCCGCGACGGAACAATTTCGTGTATGCTGCATCACACCCTCGTGTTCTCCTCTTGTTACCCCGAGGAAGACAAACTTAGTCTCTCATCACCAAGCCACATTATTTTTTATTTTTATTTTTTTTACGTAGCTTTTTTATTCACAAAACCATCTCAAGCTTCACAAAATGATGATGGGGGCTTTCTCCTCACTCTTTCGCAGATCCCGTGGCTTACACTGTTTCAAGTGAACTCCGCAAAGCTGTGCTATTTTAAAGTACAAGTGAGGTTGTACACAGTTGCTTTCTTGACCGTATTGGTTGTCAACTGAGCGACCGAAGAAACAAACATTGCATCACGTATGACGAACGAAAAGCACTCGAGAGATGTTATGCTTTGAAAAGAATCATAAGTTTTGTCTGTTCTCATGCAAAGAACTGTGATTCATTCTAAACATATGATCGGCATATAAAGGGAATTAGCCAGGATTCCCTCACTAACTGCTCTTCTAATGTACTAAGTCCTATGAAGGATGGCATTTTTTTTTGCGCATTTGATTAAAAATCTTCGATAAAGCGAATTGTCTTACCTGGACGCTATTAAAAGCAGAAATGGTAGGCCTCTAGCCTCCGGAACTTTGCTTTATGTCAAAACTCGTCAATCGCTCTATTCTTTTAGAGGGTTGTGACAGCATACCTCAAGCACGTTTCGCAAATTTAAGTCTTACCCTCTACTCACGCTCTAAATGGCAGCACATGATTAGAGTAAACGGGTGCGCTTCGTTGCGCGCGTCCTCAAAACTAGGTCACGCCGCAGCGGTCGCATGCGGCGCGTCAGCCAGCGATACTTGGTGGACGTCGCAGTTGCCAGTGAGGCATGCGATTTGTGCTTGGTCCACGGCAGTCAGCTCAGAGAGAAGGTAAACGGACCAGTGCAAAACATTCGCTCCACTGATACTTGGTGGTACTGCACTGTTATGTCTAGACCTCATTTGGGTGAGCCGGGCGCGAAGTGGGCGGGTGACCTAGTTTTGACGGGCGCGCGCAACGGACATTCCCCGACCTCTAGGCTTCGTTGTCGTCCATCACAACTCCCTAGGATTCATTGTCTATCACCATCAAATAGGTATGGTACAATATTGAAGTAGGCCATAAAGTAAGGGTAATGCTTTCAGAGAACAAGTTTTTTGGCGCTTAATTTCCTGTTCTTGAGCTAATCATACGCTGGGCTTATTGACAAAAGACATGCCAGCTAAGGGAATCAACTTCCTCGTGTTCCTTACCACTTTAACATTGAATTGCTACATTCCGGATTCATTCAGTTTTTTCCAGTTTACCTCTCAAATAGTTTGTGATTCTTTGACTCACTATTTATAGTTCCGACACGAGTTATCCTCAAGAAGTAACTAAGTATGATCATTATTTTTTTACTCGGTTTTCTAACTGTTATCAATGCGAAAGTAGTTACGGTGAAAGCGCAAGGAATATTTGCGTGTAACAATGAGAATAGCAAGGAGCCATTGCACATCGAGTTGATGGAACACGACGGTGAGTGCCGTAACCTTAACTTCATGCAAACACATCGAGGAATAGTTATATTCAGAGATAGGAGAAGACGACTTGCTTGCATGGGCGAATGTGGTGGGCCATCCCTACTACTGGGATATCCAAGGGAAAGAGGACGAGATAATCAGCATTCGACCCTACCTCGTCATTAAGCATATGTGCAAGGGTGTACGTCTCTTTTATGTGAAATTCCAAAGAATATTGTTGCAGGTGGAGCATATTGGTCTTCGTCCGGACCTAAAATTAATACCCTCATTTATATCTGCCCTCGTTTTTTACAAAATAGCTTTCTTCATTTCAAGCAGACCACGATGAAGGGTCAATGCAGCTCAAAAAATACCATGCATTCAACCTTCAAGCACATTAGTCTGTGCTGGTAATCTCTCTTTGTTCGTTTAAAGTTAGCGACAACTAGTTCAGGTAGAAAAACTTGGAATTCAGTATTCCCTGTAGTGATCGCGCGTATGGCTGCTTTCATAGTCGGCCGGCCGGGGGACTACTCGGCCTGCGGTATCGATCAAGATTCAGTTGTAAACAAGGGGCAAGCGCTGCCCACGGCCGGCGGACTAAGAAAGCAGCCTACGAGTCGCGTTTTGCAGTTATGAAAAAGAATTTACCAGAGTCATTCATGCTGCTCGCATGGGACACTATAATTGTCAAGCACATCATTTCAGATTAAAGAACGGGCTGTCATTGAAATCGAGCGTATTGGACGAGATGTTTCTATCGACTTCGGATACCAGGATCTTGAGGATCCACATTTTTCTGAAAACATGAAGCAAATGATCAAGGAGCAGGTCAAGAAACGGATTTGAATTCTACTACCATTTCCACAGTATCATGCCACTTTTGGCAAATAAATGTGTAAGCATATTGGTGAGCCATGCAATAGGAGATTGAGTATTGAGTGCAATAGGAGGAGAATTTTGCTTTCGTCTAGGACCAACTTGGGGAGTATAGTATAGTATGAATCTTCAGCAAAAGAACAGCAATCCCTAAGAGCCACAACAAATACATGAAGATTTGGAGCAAACATACATTTCTCTACGATTATCTTATTTTGTAGTAGTAATCACGTTGGTCAGAAGAATACAAGCCAAACGACTGTATCTTAGTTTTTCAGGGCATTCATCGCAGAAATCTGTTAGGAACAGACTGAAAATTTTCTCACAGAAGGTTGATTCCGAGCAGTGGATCGTGACCGTTGACCTTCTTGTTGTTTTAACTTGCTTCGACTGCAGCCGTTTCTTTCAAGGTTTCAAATCGTCCATCCCTCCATTTCCCCCACCTCATAAGTACAGTCGATTCCCACCTCTTAGACACAGTCGATTGTTTAATGACCTTGATTACATTAGCTTGTCCTTAGGGTGGTAACTCAACTGTCAAGATCGGGTGCTCTTCGTTGCTCGCATCCGTCAAAACTAGGCCACGCCGCAGCCGTCGCATGCGGGACAACCCGCGATACTTGACGGGTGTCGCAGCCGTCAGTGGAACATACGCTTCGCGCTTGGTCCACGGCGGTCAGCCAGAAAGACGATACCTCGGACGAATGCAATTCTTTCGCTCCACTGACACTTGGTGGTAGTATACTGTCATCTCGAAACCTCATTTGGGTGAGCCGAAGTGTGCGGGGTGACCTAGTTCGACGGACGCGCGCAACGAACGTTCCCCGCCAGGTTCACGCTCTCGTAATCACAATCGCCGGAATAACGATGCAAATGTAGAAGTTACCACATTTACTGAAGAACAATAATCGTAAGTCAGAATTGACAATTGACTTTTCCATCAGTAACTCATGCTACTGTTATGTTTGCCGGCACCAAGCATTTATCTTGGCTTCTTACTGGGAAGCATCTTCACATTCATGAATTTAGCACTGTGGATAAGCTTTCAAAATCGATTTCAAATTTGTCGTCGGTGCCAACTTCAAGGCGATATCTTCGCGAGCCATCTGAGTAATTATTTTCTTATGAGTACTTGGGATTGCATTGAAATATCGAAGTAAGGAAGGCAGTTGAAGTTTGACTAAGAGTATATTTACCCAAAGAGAACTTATACCACTTAGGTAGGCCTTTTTGTGTCCGTAAGTGTATCAGGGGAATCAGCAGTGTCGTAAGCGGAACCGGATGCGCTACATTTTATTTTGACTCGATCCGCAATAAGGCCCCACACAGCGTGACCTAGCGGTTCCAGAGATAAATATATATAGATAGCAATCAGGTAGAATTGCATAATTTGAGAAGAATGGATAAGATCATTCGACTTCGAGCACATGCCGTCCGCCTCCCTGCCTGATGCAGATTGAAGATTTGGTCAGCTTGCGATTTTTACTAACCTCAGGGTCAGAAAATAGATGTTCCGCAATAAAAATTATTTTTACTGGTGTTACTGGATCAACAAATGCAAAAGTTTCCGAACGATTTGCTGTACAGTGGAAGAACTCCATCACAAAAAGGTATGCAGCTCAAAGAAAAGCATGAATCCTGAAATAATATTCATCTGGTTTTCGTAATAAAACTGTAAAACTGTCATACAGTATCGACCATTGATCTAGCTAGGACCACCCTGAAACGATTTCGAATGGCATCTTTGGTAACAAATACCTATGGAGAGACAACACATTGTGATAGAGGAATCGAGATGGACTGGATGGGATCGGTCCAAGTCGTAACGATAGCCGTTCATAAGGACTACCCATAAGTGAGAATGGTCATGAACTTCATCAAGGAAATTACTTGACTACCTTCTACCACTTTGTGATTAGTGTATGAATAAATCTGGAACGGGGCGTTAATCATTCGCTCTGGCTAAAACCTTAAGCAAGTGAATTTGATCGGTCAAAGGTGTAGCTGTGGTCGTTCTCGTGGAACCACCCAGCTGTGTAGATAATCATCTTCTCTATCAAGAGAGCAGTTCAGAACTCTTCTACCTTTGCAAAGCTGATGTACTTGAAGTTGCTTGAATTCCCGCCGTTGCCTGATACAGTAGTTCCTGACTATCGATCCCCTGGACAAAAACTTTTCAAGCTGGTCATCCCAATAGTCAATTTTTCTAGTGTTAAGGAAAGATTTTTAGCATACTTTATAAAATTGTTCTGCTGTACAGAGAAGGTAGTTTATTACAAAAAAGATTTACAGCTGAAGGAAAAGCGAAAGCCTTAAAATAATTGTTGTTTGGTCTACTCCTACGAAAAAAGGCGTGAGGATTGCTCACGCTCTGAACCCGAATCAGCTCAATCCACTTCGGGGAAGCTCCCTAGGGCCTCTTTCAGCACAATCTGTCTGCTCATGAGTTTTGTCTCCAAATAGAAAGTGGGCTTCCTGAACACCCACAAAAACGCGACAAGTACATCTAAAACGAGACCCCAGAAGCTGAATACGTCCATTATCGGCCTTCTGTGAGCTCATGGACCACCCATATTGCAACAGCACTAAGCACTATTGTGTTATGCTATAATCGTTGTGCAAATATCACACCATTCAACTATTTGTCGACTATGGTGAGAATCAGAAGCGATATTGCAACACTGTGAACAGCTGAGTCCATAAACCTATCACAATAATGAGCCTCAGTATAAAACTGGAGGAGGACTGCTATCAGAACATTCTTCGAGCTGTCCGTGACTTCTACAGCAAAAATTTCTCTTCATCGAACATCGCTTTGAAATTCTATGTTACCGTAATTTTAGAAGCAGTGATTAATTATTTATCATTAAAATCACCTATTATTCAATAATTGAGGAACCTAGAGCAATGATTGGCTTTGTTGCTGCTGTGGCTTTCATCGCTGTAGGTGGTCAGGCGGCAATTACTGACAAGAACTGTACAACAGCTGATGGAAAGGTGGGTTTTCATACATCATAAATACTCAGTAGTACGTACAGTAGTACTTGAGCGACTTACCTGCCACGAATTCTGTAACAGTGCGAACTAGTAAGGGCTAGAGGTTGGTAGTCGCAATTTCGACGGTGAACAGAAAGGTTTACACATCTAGAGCACTGATAGTAGTTTTCCGCAGCAACCTAGGGCCATGTCAGCCTTTTACTTTGAAATGTATTTCACAGCGCCAGAACTACTCTCTAACGAACCATCAATTCTGCCATTCCACCTGAAAACCGTAGACTGGATGAAACTCAGCCCCCGATGCTAGTTTCCTCTTACACTATTTTGAGGCTCAGATAATGAATTTCAATCACTTGGAACAGCCTCAGCTCAGTTAACTACAAAAGCTTTGAATCCCCCTCCCCCCTATTTGTGAAAAATCTACTTTATCAACGAAGTTATTGTTAAGTGGTCTGAAAGAGCACTTGGATGCGAAAACAGCGTGTCGGATGCGATCTGCGACTCCATAGTTGCTTCCCAGACACCTCTTACTGTAGGGACTGACACTGATCGTGCGTCAAACTGTTTTCAGGTAAGAAACCGGTCACATTTGAAAGTCTCCAGGATTATAGTTTGACTTTCAGTTATCTAGCGCTGATTCTGAAGAGAAGAAGCAGGCAATGATCAAAATGTGCCCGAAAACATGCGGATATTGCTGCTTGACCGACGCCTACAACTGTGTCAACAGAGAATGCAAGTTGCTATTCTGTTTTTTGTATCCTCTCGATAATGATACCCTCTCTGGTATCTCAACAGTATCTTTCATGGCCGATGGACGTCGACGCTCGGGCCTAAAAGTAATTGAGCAACTAGCTCACAACTAAGCAACTTGTAACTAGTACATAGACTGCGGTTAGACCCTACCTCACAAAAATCAGACCCGTCTCCTATGTCCTATTTCAGAGAATTGAACATCAGAAGGTCAAGCTGCTCTTGGAGCATTCATGGTGTATAGTGCTCGAGCAAAGCCATCTGAGTTGTCATGTCTACATTGGGAACAAAATAGAGTCATTCCCTTTAACCCCGACCCAAAAACGGTAACCTCTTCTCAGCCTAAACCATACGCCAAGGTTGAGCAAGTTGAGTTCAACAACTGGAAGATATTGCATGAAGTCTGAGGTAGTTGATTCGGAATGTGGCTCGCCTTACATGCTGATGATCTCTGAACCCAACCTTTGTGCCTTGTTAACATTTGTTTTCAGTCCCCGGTGTGACATGCTCCTCTCTCACTCAGGCTCAATGCAAGGACCCCAAATGGCGTGAAATTATTGCACGTGACTGCCCCAATGTGTGTGGATTCTGTCTGGAAGGTAGGTCTTTCAATGAGCCTTCGGACTTACCCCTTTTACCATTCATTTCTTCAGGAGGATGTGTTGATGCAGCCATTGAGTGTGCTAATGATAAGAGTATCTGCCGTAACGTTGACATGCAGGTATGAACTGCTTGAGATACCCCTGATCACCAGGAATAAGGCATACCGTAATTCTTTTACAGGCCTTCACCATGGCTAACTGCAAGAAGACATGCGGTTACTGTGACAACGTCTGTGAGTGTGCTGATTGAAGTACGGTCGCTTCACTTTGAAAAATTTCAAAATTATTTTCATTCCAGCCACGACCTATCCTGGAGGTTCTACTTACCCACCAGGAGGAGCGACGTGCGTTGACAGCAGCTCCAAGTGAGATTTCTCAAAAAGACTTAACAGTAGCGTAGAAAGCAGCCATGTGATCGACCGAGACCCCTCGATGGTGTCTGAGGGGCAGGGCTGTATAGGTCACTGCGAAAAAATTCAGCTTTTTTAAAATGTTCTACTTCTAATTTAGGTGCGCATCATGGAAAACAAATGGATTTTGTGACAATCAGTTCTACACAATCCAACAGAAGAAGCAAAACTGTGCTAAAACCTGTGGACTATGCAATTGATTTGTACTTACAGTCATGACTGTACTCAGCTAGAATCCAATTACAATCCAATTGACCACAATAAAACTCTTATAAGGTTTATGTTCTACACAAGACGAAGTTCTATTCTATATTCTACTATAGATTGTAAACATTTCAAATAATGAGGTGAGCACAGGACAGCCGATCCAGGAAGGGGCGGGTCCTTCCACCCGATCGGCGTGACGCGCCTGCCGCATCCAATCGCGCGACGTGTCAGGGAGCACTTGCACTCCCTGTGGGAGATTACGGTAGTTGCGCTGTCACTTGCGTGGGAATTGGGGAAGAATGATCGCTACCGCGCAGATTTCTGCACCACCACTACCCCAGCATTCGATGTTATGCATTTCACTGTATGAACGTTAAAGTAGTTAACACTAAAGTGTAAGTTACTTGTTCCACGAGAAGTCCACGACAAGAATGCTTCGAGTTGCACCCTTCAAAATAAGTTTGGTGTCACCTGTAAAGGAGAAACTTGGTAGTTCACGAACCCAGTTATTGCCTGGCCTCGATTCATTTGGAATGGAATCGATGCAGTACAAAGAGGAGTAGCACCAGGAGGAGCATGTGTTGAAGCGGCTCCCTCCCGAATTTTCCTCATGGTGAATTACCAGTTTCAGTACAAAGGCATGCAACCGTTCCCAGTTTCTCATTCTTCGAATAGTATAGTAATAAATGAAAGGAAAGGGGAAGAAGCTTGCACGGACGGTCCATTTAAGACGGTACCATGCTTGACGCTGTCTGTCACTATTCCACTCAATATGGAACCTTGCTATCTATCTAGAAACTTTTGAATGTTCACCAAATGTGAAACAACATGGATTCAAATTCTTCATGGCACCAGTTCAGAAACGAATTCTGACTACAGACATTCACAGAATAATATGGTTACAAAGAATCTAGTATACAGGAATGGATCGCGCCTCTACCAGCATGGACAGTTTATTGTACGTCGGTTCTACGGGTTGCTGACAAAGTAATCGCTATCGGTGTCGAGCACAGGGCTCGTCGGTGGGTCGAAATAGGGGAGTGGAATCGGTGGAGGAGGGGGCGGAGGAGGAGGAGGAATTATTGCAAAACTAAGCATTGGAGGAGGAAGTATCGTAGCAGAAAGCATCGGAGGCGGCGGAAGCATTGGAGGAGAAATCAGCGGAGGAGAAAACGTCTGAGGAGAAAACGGCGGAGGAGAAAGCACCGGTGGAGTTATCGTCGGGGGAGAAAGCACTGGAGGAGTTAACTCTGGAGGAGGAAACGCCGGAAGCTCTGAATTGAATCAGTCAGTTAGTCCTGAAGTTTACCATTTCGAACTTTTAAAAAACTCTACATCATTAAAAATAAAATGAATCAATTAAAATAGTTGTGGAAGTTGAACTGCCAGTTCAAATTAGCTGTTTTCTGTTTGTCATGGGGAATAGCATATCATTGAGTTATTTTTGCGCAGCACGGACTTGCCCAGACAGGGACCGAAACCCTAGCCCTCATAAGTGCAGACATAAGTAAACACTCTCATCCGAGTGACCGTGCGCGGTCTTTGCCTTTGGTCTATCATATCGCCGCACACTTATTGTGTTCTGACGCCCGGTTTTCCAAGAAAGAAGAGAAATTTCCCCACCACGACGGCGAAGGTGAAGATTGCTAATCTAAGGCGATCGTTTTGAAATAAGCAAGTGCACTTAGCAATAACACAGCACACACTTGGCCAGACAGTTCTACCGAAGCTATTTGAATGATCTACAATCCCCCATGGCAACCCAACTTCGAATTACAGGCAGCGTTCATACTTTGTAATCGTATTCGCGATTGCCGCGACACATATCTGCCATGCGTTGCGGCGATCAATAGCAGTTGGGAGTTACTGCAAAGCTCATGCCTACATGGAAGGCCTTTTACTTCTAAAGAACCACTTTATCATATTGATTATCTAGCAAATGAATGCCATTCGAGCTCTATTCATTGGTCATCGCGACACACGGTAGTCTTGCGTCACAACAATCGCGACTATCGTTACGAGGTATGAACGCTACTTTTTAAGGGTGTGTTATCTTGCGTGACCAGCTGAAATAAAACATAAAAATAATAAAATAAATAGGGATGAATGGAACTGTCGTGAAAAAAATATAAACAACTCAACGAGGCGGATCGCTGAATGTATGATAAGTTGCAATAACCATAATGTCGAAGTTGAAAGATTCTTTGAAGGCATCCAAATCGTCCTCGAAATCCTTCATGAGTATGGCTACAGCCTAAAAAATCAATAAGTGAGAATAAGTGAAGTCATGGAAAAATTATTTTGCAAATTAACGAAAAAGAAACTTCTATATCTTGTTAGCAAATTACTGTGTAAGTCATAGTCTGAGCTTGGCCGACGTATAAGAACAAATCTTTACAACTTTACATATGTACGGTAACTTCAGCAATATGGTTTTCCTGTAGTAATACTGCACAGATACTCGCCAAAACTATACTGGTATCAAGAAAACTGCCATAGATACAAAAAAGCCTTACTGTTACTTTCAAAGGCCTGAAGCCTTTCGGGTACAATCTAAGGCAGCATATTGCTTCCTGTGTCTCTATATAAAATATCCCTACTATTTTAAATACAATATATAGTGGGCCTATATATTTAGTTATGAATATGCCTACATCCTCAGACTGACATTTCGGACCACATGGCTACATTTCTCTAAAAGGTAATTAGTCCAGAAAGAGTAGGTGGTAGTAGGTGGCGAATAGGTCCAGAACATTGCCTCGTTAGTAGATCCTTGTCATGCGCTCGAAATGGGAAAAATATATAATATAAAAATAGAAAATATATAGAAATATAAATTTGTAACGAGAATTCCTCCTGTCAAAAGGAGTACAAGGTCGATTGGAAACAAATTTTAAAAAATCGAAGGCAAACGGATCAAAGCTGTACCTATGACAAGAGACAATACAGTACTGAATGGATGGCAGTATCTAGAAGTGGTACGAAAAAGTTGGATAGCTCAAATGTAAAGATGAATCGACCGATCGTACTAATAGCAATACCGTAACTCCACGCTTGCTTTTATTCAATTTTGAGGTCTAGTTGTTGGGTCGATTTCATGTATTTGATGACTTGCTTCAGTCGATCAGCTCAACTCTTTGATTCAATTTGCCCTAACTGTTTTAGGAGAAGTCTTGGCTACTTATATCTGCAAGCATGTGGTCCTGATCGGAAACTATCAGCTCTGTTTTGCTCTGCAGCCGTAAAGTTAGCACTAAAGCCGTAAATTAGGGTAATAATGTAATTAATTGAATATGGTTCATTTGGTTCTGGTTTATTTAGTTTAGTTTAGCTGAAACTTTCAGACTAGACAGCAGGCAACGACGTCAACAGTCAAGCAGTTGGCGGAGGTGCGAAGTGACTCAAAATAGAACTCAATGTGCATACACTCATTTTGTGGACGCGCAGTTGAGAAGGGACGAAATGAAGTGAACCGAGTAAAGCAACACCAAATGAACCAAAATTATAACCCTATTGCGGCTTTAGTGCTAGTTTTACGGCTGCAGAGCAAAACAGCGCTAGTAGTTCCTAGGACTACATCCTTGCAGACATAGTTAAGCAGGACTTCTCTCAGAACAGTTTGGTCAAGTGAAACGAAGAGTTGAGCTTATCAACTAAAGCCGGTCTTTAAACACATGAAATAACGCAACAATAATTCTCAAAACTGAATAAAAGTAAACGTAGATTTACGCTAGTTGCTACTGGAACGCAAGTGCAGAGTGCTACCGGTGTGTAAATAAATAAGTAGTACCATAAAGATCAAACAATGAGGAAAATAATTCTGACAATCGAGGGAGGCAGCTTATTACACGATTAACTGGATTACAATTACTTTTAGTAGAATGGAAAAGAAAGACCCACCACAGCTTTCCGACGACACCGCTGCTCATTTCTATCCGAGGCGCGCAAACTGTATTGGAGCCTCGCATCGAGGAAGTTGAGTACGGCCGTAAAAATGTCGTCCAGCTAAAACAAAGCCTATTATTGAATCATAAATCGCGAATCAAAAAAAAAAAAAGAACAAGAACAAGAATCACCTTATAGTACAAGTTCTGGACCTGACGGAGGTATCTGAGTAGAAGTTCGTAGTAATGCTTTCGTCCAATGACCTTTCTCAGGAACGTGGGCGTTAATTCTGGAAGTGGACGATTGACCCTACGGACCCACCTTCCCAAAGCATCCATCCTCGTTGATGGTTTCTCATCGAAATCGTTTTCATCCATCATGATTTTTGATTTCAAGCTTGAATGCCAACCTGGAGTAGAAATTTGAAAAGTAAATATTCTACCTAAATGAATTTCGAACGAATACTTTTAGGGGGGGGGGACGGAACATTCGTGCGGTTCGGTCTGCGCGCGGCAAATTGCGCGGCGGAGTTCGTGGTTATTCGAACGTCTCTAACGCCTATTATTGGGGGACAAACTTCAAGTAGAGTAGATTATTAGGATCAGTTGACCATACTCAACTATTCTACTTCAAGTTTGTGCTCCAATAGTGGACACCAGAGTCGTTCGAATCGCCACGAGTTTCGCCGCGCAACTTGCCGCGCGCAGACTGAATCGCACGAATGTATCCATGGCCCATTCAAGAGGAATAAAAACGACGCAGAACAAAATGAACGTAAAGGGATGTGCATACAAATAGTTGGATATAAAATAGGCAATATGACTTCAACGTTGAGCAATACGAGAAAAATCGATACTCGTGCAAAGTGATCGATGAGGTAAACATCGTGGAGCGAAAAATGCCTGCTTTGAACCCAGGATTTCACGGATTCACTTCTGTAAACACATGACGTTTCCCCGTTCCTATCGAGAAAATTCTGTACCGTAACATTTAAGGAGCAAGTTCAATGTCAATATAACGATTTTTCGCACGTTCCAAGAAAGTTTAATACACTGACATCTTAACGCTAGCCTGTCATTCACAACGAGTAAAGCGCTAAATCTACACAAGCAGTTGCGGAAGATAACTTCAACACGTAGCTAGCACAATCGTATCACTCGTGAGGCAGTTACTACTTGTTAAAACTTACCTAAAATCTTCAACAAGTTGCAAACGCAGAAGATTTCTGATTTTGCACTGCTGCGGAAATTTCGAACCCAAATATGGAAACATAGATAATTACACGAGGACGCTCAGTGAACATCAAAAAAAAAAGTTCAATATACCTGTACACCTGACGTGAGTGCACACTATCATATCGCGACTAATTAAAAGAATGATTCCACAGAAACTCGTCGTGCAATTAGTCCGATGTGCGTTCAGTGGCTGTTTTCAGAATTCGACTATCTTCCTGCGTGCATGCCGGCACGCAGGTGGGATCGCGCAAGCGAGCGCGATGCGACGGCGGCGTTAGCCACCTGTTGACAGCACTGGCACGTGATCCATCGGCGTCCAATATTGTCAACACCTGTCTAGCGCCGCGTCGCATAGCCGCCTGCTTGCTCGCACGCACGATTCTACCTGCGATTCTACTTGCGTGCAGGCGCGAATGCAGGTAGAATCGTCGAAGTCTGAAAACAGCCAGAGCTGTACACCGTCAAGCAGCTAGCTCGGTGGTAGCACAAACTGTCCAGAAAAGCAAAATACGCATGAGCGGCAATTAAACACAAACAACAAGAGGAAAGTGATCCAAGAAGTGCGGAAAGACTAAGTGTAAGTGCTGAAGACTCATGAGATCCCAGAACCTACCTTTGCGGCTTTTGCAAAAAAAAAAAACAACGAAAAAGTGGTTTCGATAAAGTGCTAAAAGAACAACAATCATCTATGGATGAAGAACTGCAAGAAGCCTAACTAAGCCAGCAAGTTAGCAAACTCCACGGTGTGCCCACGTGGTATCAGCGGCTAGGATAGCCACGACGTATTCACACACACACACACTTGTTCACACATGTATTCACACAAACCCCTGTTCGAAGGAGCGAAGATGTGGAAATTTCGAAAAAGAACACAGAGCTGGTACACAGAGGTAGTTGATTGAAGGAAATTGACAGCTTTGGAAGAAAGATTTCGCGCGCTTATGGTGCCAGAAGAAATCGATATGAGCGCTACGTTCAGGTGCGTTGCACGAAACACGCTCAACTCTCTGTTCTTAATCGCGGCTTTGATGAGAGAAATGCCGTAATTTGTTCAATCTACTTTGAAAAAGAATTTTGAGAGCTTGTTACGATCTTGTGCATAATCCTGGCGCAGCGAGGGAGGCACTACGCGACAATCACTCATTTGAGGCGGTAGTCGTGTGCAAGGAAAGAAAACAGAGGGTCCCGCGTGGAATACACCACCTCAGGCAACAGGCGAGCAGTCACGCAGTGCGGCCTATTTCTACTTGTATCTCTGGGCTCGTTCTCTTCGTGTACTTGCGGTAGTGTTCTACCACAGTTCAGTGGGTGCCTTTAAAGTTGAGAGAGGTGTCGACCGGCCGACCGACCGATGTCGTTGCTGGCTAAGCGCGTGCGTGTAGACAACGCAGGACAGATTGCGTTCAGGGCCGCGTGAATGGTAGCGGTGTCGAACGCAGTCTGTCCAGCGTTGTCAACACGTGGCCAGAAACGCCGTCCTCCGATTGGCACATCGTTGAACTCTGAACTCGAACGGTCAAAACAGAGTTGGAGTTAACCAGTCCACTTTGCTCTGCATTTCTAAAACAGAGTAGGTCGAAGTGCTGGCTTTACAGCCCTACTTCTAATGTAATATTGTGTGATGTAAGATACGATCTTAAGCTAAGCAAATGAAGTTTCTTTTAAGTTCAATAGACCCGTAGTCAATAGTCAATAGGGAAAACATCCGGTAGATAATACGTTAAAATTAAGCCACGAATTGATTTGTTTAGAAACTTGACTCACGGGACCCTGTCTTGGTGGGAGAGCGCAGGCAGGGGAGCAAAAGTGCGTGGCCCGGGCAACTTCGCTTTCATCGCCTGTGCTTACAGAAAACCTTTTTCAATGTCAAATTTCTCATTTTTCATTCAATTGCAGGAATAAATCAATTCGTGAAATATTGCTTCAACTTAACAGTACTTCAGATTCCGTCATGAGCAACCTCTGGTTCCGAAAACGGGAACACTTCAATGGTTGGTTCTCTCCATCATTCGAAAACACCTCGGATTTTCGGGTAAGTTTTACAACAAGTAGTTGCCGAGCAGAATTTTAGGGTTACTTTATAAAAGCACGAGATTTTAAAAATCCGGGAAAGTAGTTACTGATTTATCCAACTTTCAGTTCGTCGCTTGTGGGGGGAAAAGAATTACAAGACGAGTTCAAGAAAGAAGGAAGTCACTTTTGCGAATTGGTACATTGTACTATAAAGTTCAAGTGGAACCGGACTTTATGATAATCATATTGAGAGATTTCAGATCCTGTCAATGGGGTAGGTAGAAGAAACGCGGAGCCGTACAGAGGACGTAGATCGGAACTGCCGTCGCTTCTTGATTGTTTGATTTGTTCCCAAAAGAAGCATGAGAATTTCAGTGGCTCACCGGGAAATTTCAGGAGAAGCCGTAGGTTTTATACGGAAACTTTCCAATCTCGTTATCTTTTAATAAAATCGCACGTTTTGTGACTTATCGAAGTAACCAAAATCTATTTACCAGAATGTTTGCATGGGAGCTATTTTAATATTAGTATTTTTAAGTGACGTGTAGTAGGGTGGGTTACTAACAGTCCTCAAAAGAAGAACAACTGTTTCCTGCTTCATTTGTTTTTCAGGTTCCTTGACGACTCCCAGATGGAAGTCAAGCCAGAATATAGGTACACTGATGAGTGCTGAACGTGAAAAACAGCCGTTTCGTCCGAGGAAATCAAGCTTCCATGCTGATAGATCTGACACTACTCGTCCTAAAGAGCTCCCATATCGTTCCAGGAAATCGAGCCCCAATACTGATGGACCAGGGTCTGCCAAAAGCAAAAAGTTCCAATCTAGTAAAGGAGAGTCAAGCTCCTATGCTGATAGGTCGGTGACTGCTAAGACTAGAAAGCTCCCATTTTCTAATGTTGATAGACCACTGAGTGGTGAATCTGAAAAAAGAACGTTTCATCCCAACGGAACAGGCTCCCATAGTGACACATTGAAGACTATCTGGCCTGATGAGCCTCCATCGCAGTCCGAGGGATTAAGCTCCGATGATGTTGAGCTTGTGACCAAGGGGTCCAAAGTGCTCCCGTCCTATTCTCGAGAATCGAGTCCAGACCCTGATAGATTGGTGATAGTCGAGCCCGAAGAGCTCGATTAATTCTGGAAAGGACACCCAAGCAACGGAGACTGCTTTGATGCATTGTGTTAAAGCCTTCATGTTTTTTTGAGAAGTTTTTTTTCTAATTTTTCGTCATTTGCTTAGCATTTGGAATGTTTTGCTTTTAGACATGTTGGCTATGTTGTTTCTACCACTTACTTACAATGAAGCTTGACTGCATCATGAAATTTCCCAACCACATACAGCTTTATGCACAGATTGTGGGTCGAAATGTTCAAATGTAGCTTGTAGCGTTGATGCTTGACTCCAACACGATTTGCACATTCATCTGTGCGAAAAGACGCTCCGGCATCCCATTCAGAAAGAAGTTGAGTGAAAACTTCGTTATGTAGGTAATTTTAGCACCCGATCTAGCAGATGGACACCATTTACTCGAAGATTGGAATCCCTATTTCAGCCGGGGCTATGAAAATAGCCGGGGGAGTTCGCGAGAGCGCGTGACCGGTACTACCCGTAGGATGGCGTTACTTTTTCCCAAACTCTCGCGGCGAGCGGCGCGGCACTGATTCCGCGGCGACAACCGTATCCGTTCAGTGGGGGTTCGCCTTTCCCTCCTTAGCGCGCGATCGGGTGCGGTAAGCGCGACACGGTTTTTGGGGATGAGTACCCACGCCCTCCCCGTAGAGCATTGGAGGGGATATTCGTCCCCGATTCTAGGCATTCTAGGCAACTGTCTTCTTAACAGTACCAGATGTTGTCAATGCCTGGAGCTATTTCTAATTGCTACCAATCTAGCGGCCTGCCTCACACAATGAACTAGCCCAAAGAAAGATTTAAAACACAGTGGGTCTTTGTTTACTTTTTTCACAACAACAGATTTATTCGGATATCGTGCGACCTTCAATAACACTGAAGAACAGTGCTTCACGAAGTGATATCCAACAACACAAGAGAATGTGTGTGCTTCAGTCATCCGACCAGGGACGCTTCCTCTTCAGCCTTGCTTCTTTCTTCTTGTCCACAGCCCTTTCTAAAGAGGAACAATTGACATACAAAAAGGTGCACAGAGTAGTCCAGGAAGCTCTAGTAATGACTGGTCAGCTGATTATATAAGCGACGGTAAAAATAGCTTTACCTGGTTCGAACGTTGTTCCTGCTATCGCCCCAAAAACATCAGTTTCCAGAACCGTGGCGAAGACCATCCACTTTCCGAAATTTTCTTTGAAGGCATTCAAGTCCTCTTCGTACTCCAGCATCGCCTTGGCCAGCTTCTGTTAAAGAAATTTTCTATATAAAACCAAAATGATGAGAAGAAAAAGGGATTTATGCAAGGGAGTGACAGCGGAAATGGTAAAGTGTAATTCACATGCAAAAAAAGCAATTAGCATATGTGTGGTAATATAATTACCGCGTTGCTTTTCTGAAGCTACAAATGAACGCAGTCAAGATTTTGGTTGGCTCTGACTGCAACTATAACTATATGGTTTAAATTTTTACATTGGCGGCATACAATTACGAGCCCAAAGCCCGTTTGCTTTTGGTGTGAACTTTGCCCGTAAATAATTACTATGGCGAATGTGTGTCAGGAGGCACCACCGCACGCGAAACATAGTCGCCGCCCATTGTCGTTCGCGCGCGTTGACCTAATTTCGTGCGCGGTGGCTGCATTGGCGTTTAACGGCTCTCACCCGACTGCGACCAATGTCATGCTGATATTTCATAGGAACCAGTCTGACAGCATAATCTCACCTTCAGGTTAGTGACAATTACAAAACAAATAAACAATGATCACATTATATTGTAGATTAGTATCAATCGCATGCACTCAAAAGAAGCAGTGCTGGTTAGTTTGCAATGAAATCGGATCGCTGACAGTGAACAACCGTCAAACGGAGCTACTTACACCTCGTTTTTTCGGAAAGTGGCAACCAGTAAAATGTAGAGGTATTCTTGAATGGCTAGGATGTCGAGAGATAATCGGATTGCCATGATTAAGAAATTCTAAAAATTTTCTCCGAAAATTTCTCGAACACTCACACACAAGTAACATAACATGATCCTATCACAAACGTGATAGTAGATGCTCCCTTAGTGATATTGTGATAGGGATATCGATCGTTCACGTGAAAAAAGTGAAAGTATCACAAAATTAATTCGTTTTTTATTTGTAAACAATAAACTTATAACCTTGGCTAACTGACGAGTGGCTCTTTTATCTTCTTCCGTGCAGAAAAAGTTTTGCAGGTTCCTCTTTGAAATGTAATTCAAGAGAATAATCTCCACTTTATTCAGCTGAAATGAGAATGCCCAACCTTCAATGGAAGGGTGTTCTTGATGATCATCGATTTATCAGAAGTGAAACAAAGCAGCTCAGCAAAGTTACCTTCTCGTCCAAGTCGTCGAGGGCCAAAAGGTTTTTGATCATAAATAGGCGATATTCAGGATGTCCCATCACCTTCAGCATGAATTCGAGAGTGATTTCCGGCAGTGGACGGTTCACTCTACGAACCCACTGCTCCAGAGGATCCAAATGACGTTCTTCGACTATAACTACATCGTCATCACCCACTCGACGTTCTCCGATTATGATTACGTCGTCGTCTTCCATCATAATGGACCCAAGATTCTTAATGGCCTGGAATGTAGAAATTCACAACTATCAAATAAAAAGGTCAGCTAAGACAAATAGGCATCAGATAGGACACAGCAGCTGCCGCCAAACACGTCCTAGTCCAACCAGCAGAATTAGAAGCTATGATGGTACCCAACTGAACAGAGCATGGGAAGAAAAAACTAAGCCAAGACTCGATCAACCGGAAGATACGGGGGAATGCTGCAATGGAGCTGCAAAAAATTAAGATGTTCGCGCAGCACCAAGAACTATCGTACGTTGGCGCGGGCGCGCTATCTGTGATTCTGTGATTGGTCCACATTGACCCACATCAGTATAAACACAAGCGATATCGAGAAAGACGAGAAAAAGTTCATAGTTAGCAAGTTATTGAGGTAGTTGAAAAGTAAGCAGGAAGAGAAATCACAACAAGAAAACGAAGCCCATTCCCGAATTCTCAGAGATGTAATGAAGTAAATTTTTTTAGTCAATATTGAGAGCTGCTAAATACAAAAATTCCTACCGACGACAGATTAGTCAAAGTAACAGTATGAAGGGATATCGATGCAATAGAGCAAGCTCGGGTTATACAACAGATCCATATAGAAAAAAACTACTTGAACCACAAAAAGAGATATTTTGGAGTGAATAGAATAGCTACAGAAAAAAGGTGCCCGCGGCGCTTAACCACTGTCAAACGCTGGCGCGGGCGCGCGATATGTGATTGGTCCGCGTTTGCCTACACACAGTATAAACAAAAGTTCGAAGGTCAGTAATTCAGTTGAAGAGCAAGGACTAAAGGGTAGGTAAGAAAGATAGTGAGGCCCCCGACAATATCTCAGAATATCAAGGAAGATCACGTCTTATGTCTCCAACTGGTAGCGAATTACGTCAGATATCGATTACCACCTACAACAACTTATTGAAGGTATCAGTGTAGAAAAGGGTTGACGGCGCATCGAAACAAACTTAAACAACCCAGTAGAAATAGGAAGAGAAAAGAAAAACTTTGTCGAGCCCTATTCAAATGAGATATATTTATATTTAGTCGCAGATGAGTATGAAAACTGCGAAATATTCAAATCGCTCGAGGCGTATTCACAACTACATACCGTACGACGCGCGCGGCGAGGGCGCGCGAAGTGTGATTGGTCCGCATTTACCTACCCATTATAAAATCCTGCACCACTATAAACCAGTATAACGAAGTAGGAAAAGGCGCGTTAGATGATCTATTGACTGAAAGGCAGGCACAAAAAAGGAAGGACGAGTTGGTTCACGATACTCATCAGTGACATCCTGAAACTGTGGGTTTGGCAGCTTTGTTCACTGTTGTCACTTATAATATGATTATTTCATTATAATTATGTCAATTTTCGCCAGTTTTACGTCGTGAAGATTTTTGGATGAAAAGTTAAAAATTTCAGCATATAAGCTGAACTCAGTAATCCTAGTTGATTCCAGTTAATTTGAAGTAAACTTGTTCTGTTTTAATCCAGAGCTCTCTTGGGCACACTCAAGGCTGCTTTCTAAAGTGAAGGTAGAGCCAAGGGTAATGTGGGCTGGGTATTCGCTGTTGCAAAGGTAAAGTAGTAGTTGGTAAAGTTGAAGTTTCTGTGACTTCTGATGTCTGTATTATTTCCTTTTTCCTAGTAACAGACGGTATTCTCCACATCGTGGCTGATGCTGTGTTAAGGCGTACAGGCTCCCACCAGTACGTGTGCGCCGCCAAGAGTCCCGGCCGTCTAAGAATTGGGCGATAGCGATTGAAATCTGTAGTCTTCAGTACCTTTGGTCGCACCCCATTATTCAACACTGCTACTATCTGAACAGTGCAGAATAACTGCTCTCTGTACTGTTACTGTCAACTCTCACGTTCCGTACAGTCGATAATGAATTCCTTCGGGAGACGGGCAGTAGGAACGATTTCATAAAATAGATCCGCCGCATGCGGCTGTCACGGACCATTTGCCTCGCTATATCAGTTCTAGCGTTCTTCATACATACAGCTCAATCGCCATGCGATGACTACTTCAGGTATGATTCTACTGTTATTTCTTTTGTTTCTGTATTTCTTACTTGCTGCTGCATCCTGCTATATTCCTTCGCGCGCGGCATCTTCTCGCCGCGACGCGACGTTCTCGTTCATACTGCACCACACCCGATTCCTTCTAGTTGGCGCCAGCGACGTCTCCATTCGTGTTTGTAGCGCCGTAGCCCGCCGTTCACCATAGTTGCCTCAGTGCATCCTTTCTCAAATTCAGAATTTTCCTGTTAAGGTCTTGTATGGTATCAGATGTCTTCAAGATCATTAGGACTTGTTACTGCTGATGCTTTTTATTAACCTATTTCATTTTTTTACATACGTACGTCTTTCATATTTATTGTATAATAGAATCATGAGGAATTTCCGTTCGTTAGCGGATATCCCATTCAATCTCTTGATTATGGCTTAGTGTTAGCCAATGACAACCAGAAGATGGCTATAAAATGTTCTCATATTCATATACCCTTCAGATGCTTGATGTTCCAACGATTATGGCGGTATCATTGGGAGAAATTCTGACAATGGATGCACACGAAGTCAAAGCTTTTCTGTTTCCAAGTGTTATATGATATGATAATATAATAATTGATAACTATCGATTAGTTTTCAACACAATCCCTGCAGATACATTGGGAGCTGTTCAGTCAAAATGCTATACAAATTTGTATCCTTATTGATACCCTTGCCAATACCCATATTTAACTTACGTTGTGAGAAACTACCTCTAAACTCAATAATAGGTGATGTTTTTATGTTCTGTCTTTGAATAATGTTCAGTATGACCTTAGTGACTTGTATACCCAGTCATTACTTTGTGAAAATGTTTTTGTGACTGGTACTCCTTGATCCCACCTACATGTTTTTGAGTTAATAAGTTTGGAAGTAGCTGAACTAATGAATGAGCAGGCGAACAACTTAGTTTGCGTAGAAATAGAACATTCGTGTGTTTGGAGCCACCAAAAAGCGGGTTTCAAACACTTTTTCCAACTATTTCTCGCTTTTCCTGTCCAATTGTATGGAGACGATAAAAGACGACGGGCGGAGGTGATGTG